TCAGTGGTCGACATTGATGGAGGTTTGGCTAGCGATGTGGATCTGACAGTGACAGCTGGTAATGGTGATCGGTGTTGCCCTGAGACGATCGACAACAATGGATGGTGGCAGGGCTTAGTGACATGGGCAGTGATACTTGCAATGAATTTTGTTGTATTTGGAACTTGCCAAATCGAAGGTTCAAATACACCAAAAATGAACTAGATAGTGCATTCCAAATACACCAAATTTTTATACTGAATTTATTTTAATTCAAACAAACGTCAATACTTTTGAAATTCCTGTGTTTGGAATACTTTATTCTCCATTTGCAGGCAACCAAACAGCCCTTTAGAGCTAGACAACATTCTCAACTGCCTCGTCGGGACCAAATTGACTATATAATCTTCAAATCTAACTTTCTTTCCATAGAGTTCTCTCCCTCCCACTCTCTATCCGGCTACCTTAAAATGAGAAAAATGAAATTGAGAAGTGGTTTTTAATATTTATACTTCTTGTGTCACAACACTATCTTCCGTAGCACTGCAACACTCTCAAGGAGAAGTTTCATGCATCAAAATAGAGAGTTCAACATTATAACACTTGATCCCAACACCATAAAACTTCTAACAGAAAGATGTAGCATCAACTTTAAGGAGGAATTTCCACTTAACAAATTTTCTTTCAAATTCAAATAGCTGATCCTTGGGAAATTAAAGCCTACACAAAAATAATTCTAAAAATTTACTTAAAATTTAGAGACATGATATGAATCAGTAATTCTGACTAGATCAAATTAGGTCATTTACAAGTAGTTCAATTAAGGTAGTAGTGGTCATTTCAGCTTCTCTCTAGTTCCTCTTCTTCTCTCTCGTTATATGATCAAATGTTTAACATCCTAAATATTCCTGAATGTTTTTCGCCCTTCTTGTCAACTCTTTGCTAGTTCGAATGTTTCACATTTATGAATGTCTCTCCTTTTATAATCCCTCCAAACATATCCTCCACGTTCTTATGCAACCTGATAGATGATGTCATTCATAGAGCCTAACAGCACTTGCAAATCATGATAGAGGGGTGTGGCGCAAAGAGCTAAGGACTCATCTTTGGTCAGGCTCATGAGGCTGTTTATACTAATGTTAGGAGCATCAATATAGACTAGACAAATATATAGGGGAAGGAGTCAAAATGGTGTCAGACGAAGTGACAGGTTGGAATATTTTTTATATTCCCTTTCAGTTTATTTGACAAAAGATTTTCATACTCATAAAAAAAATCATATTTTAGACGGCGCTAAATGATATACATTAAACAACATGATTCATAAGAAAATGTTGAACTAACATTACAACATCTTTTGACATATAGATAACATAAACAAATTTATATTTGATTATTATAAGGTGCTTGTTGACCTTTGTAAATTTAGCTATTGGCTTGTTCATTTGATTATTATAAAATTGCATCCCACTACATAATAATAACCACTAACACGAAAGCCACAATAAGATGCTTTTAAATTATATTCAGATTTGGGGCATAAATAGTTAATAATATTTAATTTTTTATTAAATATAAAAACTATAACCATCCAAAAAGGTCAAAAAATAGAGGAAGATAAACTAATAAATTCTAAATAATTTTAAGGAAATCTTATTTGAAAAATTTTAGTAAAAATTTTCTAATTGAAATTTAATCAATTTGGTTGAAAATTTTACCATAGTATTTGTAATTTGAAAAAAGTTGGGGTAGAATATGCAAATGTAAGATTAAGAGTTTGTTTAGGATAGGTTTAGTTTTTTTGTAAATGTTATTATAAAAATTTTGTAGAAAAAAATAATTTTTTTAAGTTGATATAAAAATAATTTCCAATGTTATTCAAAATTTTGAGTGTTCTTTTAGTAAATACATAAATTTGGATGTTAAATATATTATTAAAATAATTTTAAGTGTTATGTACAAAAATCCCCAACTCTTTTCTTAAGAAAATAGCATGACTTAAAAAAACAATCATTTGCAAAGAAATTGGACAGAAGAGGAGAGGAAAGACAAAGGAAGGACAAACCAAGAAAATGAAGAAGTGTGAAAAGAGAAAATGGAAAAGAAACTCAAATATACTTATTAAGTGATGAATGGTATGCTGCCAAATTAGAAATTATATTTAAATTTGATATATCATCAAAAAATTATTTTGATCGGGCACAAATTTCGATAAAAATTTGAATTAGAAGCTTCCAAAATTAATTCTGTCCACCAAGCTCCTCCTCGATCACTATCAGGCCATCATCAGAACACCAGCCGTTGCCGGACTTCTGCTCGGCCATCAGTCATTATTGGACTACCGCCCAACCAATGACCATTGTTGGACTTTTCCTGACAACCAACCATCACCGAACTTCCGTCTGGCCACCAACCGTCGCCGGACTTCTGCCCGGCCACCAACCGTCACAGGACTTCTGCGTGACCACCGACCATTGCCGCACTTATAGACGGCTACCGACCGCCGCCGAACTTCCGCCCGCCACAGATCGATGACAGACTTCCGTCTGCTACCGACCGACGTCAGACTTCCACCTAACTCTTTCTTTTATTGTAATTTCATCGTCTTCAAATTACATGACAGATCAAGCTTTGCAATTCATTCAAATACCAGTGGAATCATTTGAACTGGGCTAGGCCTTGTGATTGTTTTTCCTTTTACATGATTTCCACGTTAAAAACCTTGGAGTTATATATTTTATGCTTGTGGGCTAGATATTCATACAACGTTAAGATGATAAATACTCACTTTACTACTACATATATTCTAGCCCGCAACAAAATTCAAACTTAAAAAACTTTGATTGAATAGATCAATAAAAGTATTCCTCTCTATTTTCTTATTTTGATTGATCTTTCTAAGAAATTTGAACCTCTTAATAGATTTATATATACATATTGGGAAAACTATTTTAATTATCTTGAATTTAGACATTAAAAGTATGATACTTTTTTGTTTTCATATTAAAAATAAATTATTCATATATGCATTTGACACAACATTATATATGTATCAAAAACTAAAATTATTGCATAGCAATTGCATATATTAAAAAAAAATGAAATAAGTTGTGAAATTCAAAATGTTAAAGATAAATAGATAAAATATTTAAGGATGAGAAAAATAAAGAAAGAAGGAAAAATATTAGGCTTTGAGGAATGAAGTCCAAGTTTAATTACAATAAAGAAAGAAGGAAAAATATTAGGCTTTGCTATAGGAGTGTTGATACGTCCTCAAAAAATTATCTTAATCGGGCGCGAATATCGATGCAACGCGAATATTCCAGGACGCAACAAGTGTAAATGGGTCGAGTCAAAATTGAGTCATTATTGGCTTAAGCTTGAGCTAGATTAATTAGTTAAGTTCGAGCTCGAGCTCGAGTTTTATTCTACGAGTTTGAACCAGCTAGTTTATTATAAAAGTGAAAAAATCATTGTGATTTAAATAATTATTAATGATAAAATAAGAAATAAAAATAATAATAATGAATCATTTAGTATAATTTATGTAGATAATATTAAAATCTTACAAAAAAGAATAGCTAAAAAATAGAGAAAAATGAAAGAGAAGGATGGTCTAGATTGAGAAGCTCTATGATTTTACTAGCATTTCATAAACTAAAAAATCTTCATCAAATGATTAAGGTTTCATTTGAGATAACTTTTTTCCTATTTTCTAAATCAGGTTTTTGTCCTTTATAAGAAGGTGAAAGTTCAAAAGAACATGAAGTAAATAGAGAGGAATTTCCATCATAAATGAAGGCACTTTTATCATTGGAGTCAATTCATGTTTTCCCTTATAAAGAGCGACTTGAAGCAGATAGCTCTACGTTGCTTTCCCTTACAAGTATGTGAATTTTTTTTGCTAAAAAGTAAGGGTGTCAATTCATGTCAACGGGTCGTGTTCGGGTCAAATTCAATTTTGACCTGGTTGTTTTTGACCCAACCCGATTTAGGTTTCTAGTCAGCTTTTTAAACTTGAAACTGACGCGGGTCGGGTTCGGGTCAGCCCGACCCGACACGAAGGCGGAACTGGAATAAGAACCTCGTGAATGGTTGTTGGCAGACCGAACTATGGAAGCCGAAGAAGAACGTGAATGGCAAGCCGGCAGTCGGCGGATGGTCAAGACAAACTTGGATGAGAGGCTGTGCAAGGTCAGTGACGCCGACAAGCTAGAATCGAGATGCGACATTGCGATTGACGGAGTGTTGGACACGTCAGATGAACTGGTGGACTAGGGACGATCGACTGCAGCGGCGCCTCAGCTACATGACTTACGAAGAGCGGCGATGACCTCAATTAAAGGAGGCGAAAAGATGCGTGATGTGACTGAGTGAGTGCGACTCGACATGTCGAGCAACAGATCATTTCGTGGGCAGGGCGGGCAACAGACTCGGGCAAAACCATTTTTGGGTCATTTCCGAGTTTCCGGGTCAACCTGAACCCGCCCCGAAACTCAAATCAGGTCAGATATTTGAACCCGAACTCGATCCGTTTGCTAACCGGGTCAATCCGAACCCGGATTTTTCCAAGTCAGGTTCAGATCAGGTTTTGGGACGTGTCAAAATTTAACACCCCTACTAAAAAGGTTAATCATTTGATGATTAAAGTTTATTTCTTAAAATGGTCCATTAGCACCTATAAGACAAAGACTCAGAAAGTTTTTTTTGGGGAACATTAGGAACTTCGAATGCAGGCTCACCGGAGGAAAATGTTTACGTCTACCAACGAGCCGCACACCCTAGCCCACACTTACCGAAAGTGAATTGGGTGTGTGCATTAAATTTGAATTTATAGGCCAACCTAAATCTTACTTAAGTTAAATACTAAAAAATGTGTCAGAATGTATTGAACAAAAAGTGTTCAAAAAATTTTTAGATTTATTTTGAGATTTATATGGTACTAATCACTTATGCATCCCTAATCTTAAAGCATACTTCAGATATTAACTCACAAATTTTTAAATTTAAAACCTATTTGTCATCAATGAGATCTCCTGCATTCATGGTTCGTTTGACGGCCAGATCCTCTCTTCCGGTACTCCTTGTTGTCAGTGGACGGATCGACGACGCCCGCGGCGAACCTCACTTTCTTCTTCGGTTTGCTGCCATTTACTCCACCTACCAATTCAAGAAAATGAGAAATTAAGAAGAAGAAAAAATAGATTAAGAACAGAGCAATGGAGAACAATGAGACGAAATTTCTCTAATAACGGCTAGAATTTTAAACAAAAAGCCAAATTTGACCGTTAAGGCGAAATCAAACTTGCTAACTACGAAACTGAATATTTTCTTGAGTGAAAATGGTCTGAGAAAGGAAGACACACGTAAAGGAAGAAGGGAACATAATCAAAGGAGTTTTTTTTTGGGGACGAATCTGTGGCGACAAAGGGCAGGATCTCAATGGATCGTGACAGCAAATGCCACTTTACCACCTACAATGTCTCATCGCGAAGTTAAGTCGTCTTTAAAGGAATCAACCTATCGTCCATTCGGAATTGTATTTCAGGAAAAATTACATCAGGTAGCCTATAATATGTCGTCAGGTCACTTACTCTTTACCGCGCGGCCCGACGGCCCGACCCGGAACGGACCCGGGAGTTTGTGTAGCTCGGTATTGCTAGGTATTGGTCGATTTTGCTCGACAAAAAGCGAAAAATATTCAATACCGAGCAATACCGAGTTCAATACCGAGTTCTTTTAGGTATTACTCGGTATTGCTCTAAAAGAACTCGGTATTGCTCGGTATTGGTCTTCACATAGAGGTATTTCTCGTTATTGCCAAGTAATACCGAGTAATACCTAGCAATACCGAGCAATACGCAAATATAGTAATACCAGATTAGGTTCGAGTCGGGTCGTCGGCCGCGCGGTAAAAAGTAAGCGCACGTGGCGACATATTATAAGTTACCTGATGTTGCTCTACGTCAGGTAACCTGACGGAATAATTTTTCGTATTTCAGGGCCTCCCTAGCAATGATCTAGATGACCGACACGAATGCATCGCATATCACGTGCCCCTGGGGGCTGATAGGGGTGTCAATATTTGACACAACCCGAAAACTCGACCCGAACCCGACCCGAAAATTTCGGGTTAGGGTCAACCCTAACCCGAAACGTGTCGGGTTCGGGTTCAGCATTTCGACCCGTTTCAAAAATCGGGCCAGGTTAACCCTCTGACCCGAAAGTAACCCGATTTGACCCGAAAACCCGATTTTGACCCGGCAACCCGAGATTGACCCGAAAAGAGGAGATTGACCCGTTTTTGACCCAAAAATTAGCCATTTTCTTGTTGGAAACGGGTCATTCGGGTCGTGTCGGGTTGAGCCGGACCAGAAGCGGGTCGGGTTCGGGTCAGGAAAACTGACCCGTTTTTAAAAACGGGTCGGGTTCGGGTTGACCCGAATAGTGCCGGGTCAGTTTCGGGTTCAACCCGACCCGTGACCCGAAATTGACACCCCTAGGGGCTGAAGCCCCAACTACTGGTCGGCGCGCTAACGATCGGCTCAAGCGCCGCGACAGAATCAAAGGACTTAGATTTCTCAACGAACAACAATTTCTGAAGAAAATTTATATTGAGATGAATACAATGGAATGGGTTTGAGATTCAAATTTGGCTGAGGATATCCCGATTAAACTGTGGATGAGTACAACAAATGAGAAAAGTAATCAAGATTTTGAAATAAAAAAGAACTGCAGAACTTTTTTTCCTATAAGAATTCAAAATCCAAGAGAGAGAAGGTTAGTTTGCTCTAGTTAATTCGAAGACCCCATATAAAGTTGATTGAAAGAATGGAAGAAAGAGGAAGGTGATGTAGTGGATCGTCGGAAGATGATACCTGCAAGAAGGATTTGGGTTTTCCCAATCCAGGGAGAAGAAGAAGAAGAGCTCAAAGGCTTCAAAGGCTAATATTTCATTCAATGTCTTTCTCCTCTTACACATTCTCTATATATAATGCCAAAGCAAGAAAAACCTAGAGAATCCTAGAATATTCTAGAGAACTTGTAATAACTAAATAAAATAACCTAAGGAATATTATAAGCTAAAAATGCTCCGCATCATTCTCCCTTTGCATCAAAAGAGCTTGACTCTGTCGAGATGTGCCATCCTCCTGGATCGAAGATTTTACATCTTCGATGTATGTCCACGATCTCATTCATTAGCTGTATTAGTTGCTTTGGCCTTCCACTATTTTGCATACCTCCATGGGTAGAAGCAACAGCATATTTGTCTCGCAAAGCAAGCAAGAAATCAATAAATGCTACCCATTTTAGTGTTAAAGCTAATAAAATCCTGTGCAAGTCATTCTCAAAACCAACTTCTGATGCTTTTCTAGTACAAAACCTACTAGGCAAAGCTGATTTGGTGGACGAGCTCCAACATATGCAAATACAACTCCAAACTCCTTTGCTTTCATTTCATCAAACACTTTGCTGGCACTTTTGATGTCACCACATTTAGCATGCATGTTCACTAAACCATTGTAAACATAGACAAATGGCGTGAAGCCATGATGAATGGCGCATCCCTGAACCAGTAATCCATCTCCGAGGACTTTCAATATGGCACAAGCATGAAGGATTGCGCTTAATGAGCTTCCATTCACATTACTCAACCTTGGATTATGAGAAAAAGATACAATACCCCCTTCATTAAGAAACTTAGCATAGGCAACTAGCCAGACAGTGTCATATGCATACAACCCATAAGAGTTTAAGCTTGAACTTACATATCCTTTCTGAAGCAATTTATTTCATCTCGACAAAAAATTTTGTTTGATATTTGAATCTGGTGTATGAGGATGAAGAACGATGGCCCCTTGTATTAAACTCATGGTTACAGGATCAGCACTTCCGGAATAATCCAAGACTGACGAGAGCCAATCTGTAGCTATCCACGCATATCTAGCATTAAGGATACTGATTTGTTTCAGATGTACCTCCCTCCCGGTTCCGGCAAGACGGGCCTAAAGACTATTGGCAAAGTAGTGTGCGAGCCTCAGAGAGGCATTGTCATGAGGAGACGAATGCTGCTGGATTTGTTTCAGAAACTCGTAGCCTCTAAGGTTGTCGTCGTTGTCCATGGTATGTGCACAGTGGAGAAGAAAACTGTTGAAATCCACAACCTCCTCTTTCAGTTGTTTCTTCCAGCGAGACTTCCGACTAACACCTGACTCATTGGGGATGGAATTTTTTGAATCCTTTCCCGCTTCTGTGTACACCTTTTCTCAAATTGCCCTCACGTCTTGAGGAAACCTTTCACAGTTAACAGAGTAGTACATCGTCGAACATCTCCAAGGGAATAACCGGCTCTTCGTAGGAGAAAGCCAACTGGTTGATTCTCCTCGTCTCTTCAAAGCCTGAATAATCTAAACAACGGTTCTTCTGCCTTCTCTCCTGTTTGATGGGGTTTTGTAGCAAGTTCAGATTTATTTCTCCAACTCCATGATCCGCATCAGGATCCATGATGCAATGCATCCTCCGGCTGTTACTCAAGTAGGGCTCGGACCATTCCACCAGCTTCTCCTCCTTCAGCGATAGTAGGATTCCGTCAGCGATAGTAGGATGTGTCTGGACCGGGGTTTGCGGAGTGGAGCCGTCATCGTCGAACGATGTCGGGTCAGGATGTGGGTAGGCGTGCGGGATGAGTGAATGATTTCCATCCATGGCAGAGTCCGGAACCCGCTCTGCCTTGTTGCCGTCCGCAGGCAATGCAGGAAGACGGCAAATCTCTAGCTGAAGCTCCATCCCGACAGAGTCGGAGCAGGCAACGAGACTGGGATCTGGTCGTGATAGATCGAGCTCCTGCACATGTCGGGACGGCGAATCGGAGGTTGGATGTGCGGGAGTCTGGTCGGCTGCTGTCAGAGATGTCAGAGTGGCGATAGATCGTCGGGGTTGGGAGTTTTGGAGGCCAGCGGGTTTGGCTTGAGCGGTGGTAGTGGCGGTTGTTTCATCGGAAATGAAATCGGAATAAACTCCCACGCAGAACATTGGGCGTGCGAGCAGATCTGAACGGGATTTGGCGTGCTTGAGCGGAGGTGGTTCGTGCCACCGGAGCGGAAGCTCGAGCAGTGGGTATTCCGGCGGCGGATCACGCCAATTGAGCGGGAGTTCGAGCGGAGCGTAATCATCCGCGATCGTGGGAGTATGGCGGAACGGATGGCATCTGCGTGAAGCGGACGAGAGGATCGAAGAAGAAGAATGGCTCGGTATGGTTGCCAATGACATTCTCATCCTCCTTATTGACCGAAGGGTTTCGCGAATCCGATCAAGGTTTCTATCTACCTGATCGAGTGACTTCTTCGATTGAGCTTGATAGAAGGCGATCCGGCTTCGAGCATCGTCGACAGCCCACCTTCCTTGGTGTCGATCGTCGTCGACCGCCAATCTTGTTTTGCGGCTTCGATCGTCGTCGACAGCCGACCTTCTTCCGCAGTCCATCGATCTTCACAAGCTCCGGGCTCTGATACCAACTGATGTAGTGGATCGTCGGAAGATGATACCTGCAAGAAGGATTTGGGCTTTCCCAATCCAGGGAGAAGAAGAAGAAGAGCTCAAAGGCTTCAAAGGCTAATATTTCATTCAATGCCTTTCTCCTCTTACACATTCTCTATATATAATGCCAAAGCAAGAAAAACCTAGAGAATCCTAAAATATTCTAGAGAACTTGTAATAACTAAATAAAATAACCTAAGGAATATTATAAGCTCCGCATGAGAAGGGCTAGGAGGACGAAATAAAATAGGATTGTGATAGACATAAGAGAAACAAACAGAGCACGAAGACAAAATCCGAGAGAGAGAGAGAGAGAGAGAGAGAGAGAGAGAGAGAGAGAGATTGGTCTGTAAAGGGCTCCAAATCTCCAATTCCAATTTCTGCTATCTTCATGAAATCAGAGAAACAAACAGAGCAGGAAGACACAAAGTTCTAGAGAAGGGGAGGGAGAAGATAGTTAGAGATGGGTGCTTACAGGGCTCCAATTGGAATTTCTTCATGAAATCAGAAACGAGGCGTTTGTAGATTTGGAGGGCGACGAGAGCCAGAGACAAAATCCTAGAGAGAGAGGGGGAAAGAGAGAGTTGAGTCCTTACAGGGCTCCAATTCAACTTTCTTCATAAAATCAGAGTGACAAAACGAGGAGGAAGACACAAAATCCTAGAGAGAGAGACGAGTCCTCACCGGGCTCCAATTGAACTTTCTTCATGAAATCGGAAACGAGGCGTTTGTGAATTTGGAAGGCGACGAGACCCACGCTGCTTGAGACAACCACCACCGCCATTACTCCCGCACGTCCGGAGCTCTCCATGTCTCTCTCTTTCTCTATCGATTCTTCAGAGAAGCAGAATTTAACAGAGGAAGGTAGGGCTGCAAACGAACCGAGCCGAGCCGAGTATGTGAGTGTTCATGTTTGTGTAATATTTAATTTAATGAAAATAAAATGATACTAGCATTTTTTTAATATTTAGGCCAATTACGACAAATTCATACATCAAATACGCGAGATTAAAATCCAAAACATCTTGGTTGATAATCAAAGCTCTCATCTAAGAAACCAAAGTGAGCTACATACCTAGCAGAATTTATAATATCCTTTCTAACAAACAGGATATTAGCTGAGTTGGTGAAAACACGAAACGATCATTATTATAATCAAAGATAGGTTGTAAACTACTGTGAGCTGAACTCGAGTCACCCTGACTTGAGATTGAACTTTTAGCTTGATTAATTAATCAAATTGGACATTGAGCTCGAGCTTTATTTTACGAGTTCGAGCCGACTCACATGCCTGCTCGTTTAGCATGAATGAGAAAACAATTATAATTCGAGCAATTGTTATAATAAAATGATAAAAAATTGTGAAAAATAAAAAAAATATAATCAAGAATAACTTAATATAATAATAATAATAAAAACTATATGTTTTTATCAAATTATACTCATGAGCTATTTATCAAGTCAAGTCGAACGTGAGCCGGCTCACGAGTGAGCTCGACTCACTTACACCCTTTATCAATGATCATTCAAAAGAATCTCTTTGATGTCTTAATTTTGTTATCGCTGTGTGCTGTTCTACATTGGATGCAGCTGATCTCATGTCCTTTCTCAGCGGAAGAAGATTTCAGATAAATATTAAAGTAGGCTTAGTTTGGGACGACTTTCTTATTACTTCTTAAAACATTAATAAAGCCATCCCAAACGAAGCCTCTAAGCGATTCAAACATATGATTTTATTTGAACCTTGTTTTTATAATCAGTTTTGAACATTATTGTCGCGCTTGATATGACCCATCTTCTCCTTCACACAATATTAGTTCTGTATTTCATATAACAATAGCGTGGGTTTTCCTAAACTACTAAGTATTTGAAAAGTACTACATTTATTTTACATTGCATTTACTTTACACTTCATTTTCTTTTCAAGCAACCAAACAGCCCCTTAAGCCTTTTGTTTAGGGAGGCTTGTTTTCAATTTTATTTTATATTTTTAATGGTATTAATTTTAATATAAAATAGCTTTTTGTTTATTAATTTTCTATCAAAACATTTATTAACAGTTTTTTTTTTTTAAATCTGTTGTAAGTTTTATCTAAATCAATATAGTATATAGTAATTCAATATATTCAACATAGTTGTTAATAGGAACTTTTTTAAAAGAGTAATTAAAGCTGGGTCCTCACTTTAGTATAGGAAAATTGATTATATCTATCTCATAATACATGCAATTAAAGTATATTCTTAAAAATTATTTGGATGATATTATACTCATTCTAAATTAATTTGAAGTAGTTCAAACTCAAATTCAAACTTTTGTTCAAACCATGGTTCGAACTTTGGTTTAAGGCTTCGTTTGGGGCGGCTTTCTTACCGCTTCTTCAATCAGCTTTCTAATATAAAAAAAAATTAATTTTGTACTAAAAAATAGCTTTAAAAAATAATAAAAAAGTCGTCCCAAATGAAATCTAAATATCCATTTGAACTCTGTTTCATTCTTTAAATTAGACTTCGTTTGGGACGACTTTCTTACTGCTGCTTAAAACATTAAGAAAGTCATCCCAAACGAAGCCTCTAAGCGATTTAAACATATGACTTTATTTGAACCTTGTTTTTTGAATCAATTATGAACATTATTGTCGCGCTTGATATGAATCATCTTCTCCTTCACACAAGATTAGTTTTGTTCGAGCTTGAGATGCCTTCCCCAAGCAACCTTCCATCGCATACCCCTATCTCCTTTATGAACCATTGGTCTTGTTGATTCCTTTTACCAATGAGGTCTTATTGCACACCCCTCTTCTCCATCATACCTCATTGAACTTGTTATTTATCAACATATCACTTAAAACTCACCTATTTACATATTTAATATCTAAGCTTAATATTTAGTCACATAACACCTAAATATTCAAATAACATAAAAAAATATCACTCTCCTCGCCTTTCCTTCTCCATTCTATTTATACATCGCCGTTGCCGGCACCATCACCATTCACCACCTCACATGTCACCGATCCCAACAAACTCCTTCCCTAGCCTCATCTTATCACGACCCTTTTTAGTAAGATCACTTACCAACCCCCTTCCTCTTGAGATTCTATCATAACTTTCTCGTGCCAATCCAACACTTCTTTGTTGTTACTTCCTAACCCTTTTTCATTTGTTCACAATGGTTCCAAGCTCAACATGATCTAATGGCCCTTTATCATTGATGGTTTTGTCTATAAATAAAAATTAAAACAAGTTTTGTATTTTATAAAGAGTGAAATTTAAATATTACATATATAGCCGAGTGACTTTTGAATGTTATACATATAAATCTCCCAAAATAATAAAAAAAATATAAATAGTGATCGAGGCATAGGCTTGTTGTTTCTTATACTCCCAATTGGAGCAAGAAGAATGTACTATCATCATAGTAATATACCATTAAGATTTGAGAAGGGGATATATACTTCCATTAGAATTTGAATCATTGAATTGGCGACCAAAGCCCATATCCAAATGGATCACAACAAGATATAGCTTTTTTTTTTTTTAGAAAGTTTAGGGCCATGCCCAACCAATATCATTCAAAAAGAAGTTTTAAGTAATATAAAATACAATGAGCTCATGTTGTAACAAGAAAAGGTCTTCAAAACTAAAGAAGCTAGCTAAGGCTTTGTTTGGGACGGTTTTCTTACTGCTTGTTAAAGTAGTTTTCTAGCATAAAAATTAAAAAAAAAATTACTAAAAAATTGTTTTAAGAAGCAGTAAGAAACCGTCACAAACAAAATCTAAAAATAAACCAAGTAGAAGTCCTCCAAAAGAAATCAAAAAATAGTTCAGAGAATGGGGAAGAATACATCATAGGCTCTATCCATAGCAGATTAAGGCTTTGTTTGGGATAACTTTTTTAATGCTTTGTAAACCTGCTTTTTAGTTAAAAAAATCCATTAAAAGCAAGAAAAAAGTAGTAGTCTAAGCTGTTCAAATGAAGCCTAAAACAAAGGCAAACTAGCAAGATAATGCAAATGCAAAACTCAATACAAACAGATAGGAATTGTCCACAATGCAAAATGGCCTATAGGTATTAAACTTCAAAATAGTAAACTAAAAACTGCAGCCACTGCAAAGCATAAGGACATGGCCCAACAACATGAAAAACTACATGCAAGCCATCAAACTCACAGCAAGTGAGCTAGATCAATAAAAGTGCAATGGTGCAGTAACATCATGAATAATCAAATGATCCAAATCCAACTAATTCTTGATTTCAGAAGGAATATCAACCTTATATGACCATTCTCTACTTTCATGGGTGACAGAAACCTTAATATTCTTAGAGATTTTTGGACATTCTGAAAAAATATATGGACATATTCCTTTCAATTCAAATATAGTAAGCAATAATTTGTACTGCTAGCAGATAATGAAGCTCCTGAATAAAAAAAACATTCAAGTGGAAAATCGAGCTCTAGAGATGCTGTTGTGAAGAATCAAAATTGCAATAGAATGTTCGAAAAATAAATGTGTATGTGATTTCTTGTGAGTAGAGCAGAGAACACATCTAGTTTCTACCTCCATCCCTTTAATAACCCAAATATCTTTAGTAGTTAACCAATCAAGCCAAAATTTTCAATAAAAGATAGCAAACATGATGCCATTTCCTTTGAACCATAAAAGTTTATGCCAACTTGTGTTAGACATATGCTAAAAAACCTTAAGATAAGCTTTCTTAGAAGAAAAATGACTAAAGTCAAGCCATATTGGCATTGTTGGGATGTTGAAATGGGCGCATATTGAATAGCAAGAACACATACCGACTCCATCGGAGAAGAAGCAAAAGGTAAATCTCAACAGCCATTATAAATGTATCTTTGACAATGGCCTTACGAAGCTCGCTGAAGAAAGCTAAAGCCAAAGCATTCGAGCCTATTAAATCCATTAGACTTTCCATGTTTCCAAGGATTCTAGAATTGAGAAGGTAAGCAATTCTTGGCAACATAAAAATACATCCAATTTCTAATTTTGCTATTAACATAGTGAAGAGGTTTCTAAAAATAAGCAGCTTTGCTGACAAGAGCCCAAATAGATCCATAAAAGTTGAAAAATCAATTGGCAAAGAGTGAGTACAACAACAACAAACCTTTATCCCATTGTGGAGTCGGCTACATGAATCATTTATCTCCATTGTGTCCTATTAAGAGTCAAATTCTTATCTAAATTTAATAAAGAAATATCATTTCTAATACTTTCTAACAAAGTCATTTCAATTGGCAAAGAGTGAGTGCAAATAATAAAATCTACCAATCATTTTAGCATTACAAATGAAGCTCATGGTATGAAGAGAGTAAAGGCCCAAACCACACTTCTAATTTGGAAGAGTGGTATTGGACTAGGGTACAGTGTGCAATTTATTCTCCTTACTATTGTGATGTAAGAATTTGAGATCATAGAGTAGTTCTTTTTGATAAAGCATCACAAATCTAAATTACCAGAGCAAGTAGTTCTATATGGTGATTTTGATAAATTGTAATCAACCAATGAAAGAAAGAAAACTTCATATCCAGCCACCAAGCTATGTAATGAAATTATTCATATAGACGAGCAGTCCATCATATTGACCTTTAAAGCAAAGAGTGTAATGCCCAAGGCAAACATGAGCAATTTATCTCTAACAAAGATGAAAAAAGAGTTGAAATTCTGAAATCAGTGAAAGCTGCAAAATCTCAAAATGTTTTTCCCCCAAATAACAGATGATGTGCACATTTGCTTTGCCAAACGCAAGTCATTCACATAAATGAGATAAAAGATTATAACATTCTTGCATTTAATAGCAATATTCACCAAATTAGGTTGTGCATTGTGCTTCAACAATATAAAGTTGGTCACATTCGGCAGCAATATTTCCTTTTTAGTCCAGTACTTTGAATGTATCATATATCGTGTTTAAGAAATTCAGATTATATATTCATCTGAAATTCATACCTATAAATCATTAAAAAAAATTTCATTTTTAATACCTTTCATAAGTACCAAAAATACATACAATTTAACTTCCAAAAAAATAATAACATATTTTATAAACTATACTCTTACATTGTTAAAAAAAATATTCTTATATTATTTCGATATGTCAAAAAAGAATTCTAACTAATAAACAAAATTACAATTTTACTTAAAAATTATTTTCTATTCCAAAATTTTTTAAGAAAATTATGACACATACGCCTGAATATCACTAAACCCTAAACCAACCAAAAAACCCTGCTTGTGTTTCCTTGCTCTATAATGTCTTTCAATTTTAACTTTTAATAGAATTAACAGATTTTTAATATATAATTACAAAATTATTTTGAAATTAAATTTATACAAAGAACATACAACAGACTGCACTAACTAAATCAAAGTTGCAAAATAAGTTACCCATCTGTACGATGAGAACAATGATTTTATTTCGTATCACATTATACAACACAATTTGTTAACAAAAAGAATGCTTTTGAGTACAACCTCACCGACCTATGAAGCAAATGACTGTACTGACATGATATTCAAAAGGGCAGACTACCATGATGTGTTAAACGTTTCACCGGTTTATAAACATATATGAAGATAATTTGTCACTTAGAGCTATTTTCTTTCATAGTTTAGAAAACCATTATAAATGAACTAAATTTATCTTCATTATAGGTCAACTCACTCTATTTTAGCGACCAATGTAGCCCAGTTGGTGGAGAATGAAGGCTAGGATTAACATGACAATGGCGAGTACCATACCAGGTCTTCCCAAGAACCAGTGCTTAGTCTTCTTTGCAATCTCGAATCCTTTCTGTGCTCTCTGTGCCCATCGCATCTGAAAATTGCATGTCAAATAAATAAGATTCAGTGGCTTTACACAAAGTAAACATGGAGGTCAAGGAGGGATAACTCAACTTCCAGCATTCAAAACTAATATCATGGGTGTGAGAATATCATTGGATCCAGTTGGACTGTGATCCAATCCTCAAATTAGTTTGCTCAGAATTAAAAATTGGATTTGTAGAAAACCGGATCATATAAAAATATAATAATTTTTTGGACTTATTCTATATATAAACATAGTATTTCATGTCAAATAATGTATTTATATATAATATCACTTATTTATGAATTTATTAACTGTTTTTTACACCAGGCGGAAGCTTAGTTCCCCCCCCCCCCCCCCGGGGCTTTTCCCCCCCCCCCCCATGGTGAAGGGAGAAGGCGGTGGGAATGTTTTTTTTTGGATATTTTTGTTGAGTATTGTATGCTTCAAGTAGTATTGTTAAACCATTGTATCTTGTTGTTTTCTTCCCTATTACATCAATTACAAAATTTTATATTTTTTATCCGTCTTTGATCTTCTCATGGTTTGTGTGGAAGATTCTACAAGCACTTTCTTTCAAATTGGTATCAGAACAGCATCCTGAGCTAAATTGAGGCCTTTCCTTGTCAATCTCTGCGGAGTTTCCCCCTCTAAAGTGCAGCTTTTTGCTGTTTAAAGCCAGAATTATTGTTTTTCGCTGTTTGGCCAAGATTCGGATATCTATGGCAGCCAAGAAGGTTGATGCCTTGGATGAGAGATGAGCCAAATCAAAGCAACAGTGGAGGACAGAATTTTCTCCATGGAGGATAAGTTCTCCAACCTAGAAGAGATGGTGAAGAAGGTGTTGGATTTTCACAACCAAATGTCGGCATCGACGGCAAGAGTGTCAGCAAGAGGAAATACAAATTTTGGCAGTCAGAGGGATGATCACGATGTGGAGATCTTAGAGTGAAAAGAAAGAAGACCTCCTCAAGAGCCTATTCATAGGGATGGGATAGGTATAAGGGATGGGGAGAGGCATGACAATGTTGGGTATGAGCAAAAGGCAAATTTTGAAAGGAGAGGAGCTAATCATGATCGGAAGGGTGCTGACTTTGAAAGGAGGAGGGAACTTGAAGATAGGTTTGGATACGGCCGTGGAAGGGATGATTGGGATATTTAAGGAGGACCACCCACTTGGAGAATGAAAATTTATGGACGACCCAGGGGAAACAGAGGAGATTTGAGGGTAAGGAAGCTGAAGATGCCTCTTTTTGAGGAAGAGGATGCACATAGGCGAATCTACAAGGTGAAGAGGTATTTCACCGTCAAAGGGTAGACGGAGGAGAAGAGATTGATGACAGCTGACCTGTGTTTGGAGGGGAAAGCATTAACATGGTACCAATTGAGAGATATGAGGCGACCAATACAGAGCTGGAGAGAGTTCAAGGATTGCTTGCTAGAACGTTTTCGAACTAGGAAGGGAGGAGCAATTTTTCTCTTTGACATAAGAATGATCAGTGGTAGAGTACCGGGAAAAGTTTGAGTACATGGCTAGTGAACTGGACCGGCTGGCCGAGACTGTATTAGAGGATAATTATAAGAAAGGACTTAAACTAGAAATTAGGGCAACAGCTAGAGTAATGAGGCCTTATGATTTGGGAGAGGCTATGGAGATAGCACAACTAGTGGACCATAAGAATTTGGAGAGGTATTCCAGAGGCAGCAGTTCAGGAGGCCGTCAGTATGACCACCCCATTTTTGACACCCAAGGAGCCACCACTGGGTGTTCCTCTGGAGATCCCAAAGGAGAAGCCTGTAGGAGGGGGAAACTTCAAGAAGCTAACCGAGAGGGAGCTCCGGAGAAGAGGACAAAAGGATTATGCTTCCGATATGATGAGAGGCATACTCCGAGGCATAGGTGTAAGGACCAAACTCTTCAGGTTCTCACCGTCTGTAATGATGAGGAAGTTGAGGAGAGAGGGGAAAGGGAGTCTTTGGTAAAGGAGGAAGATCTACATTTAGACGTGGAGGAGGTCTCCTTGAACTCAGTGCTGGGATTCACTCCAAATCCCACCATGAAGGTGAAGAGAAAAGCTAACAGGGGGAGGTGGTGGTGTTGATAGACAGTGGGGCTACCCATAACTTCATTTATAAACAGGTTGTTGACCAATTGGGGTTAAATTGGTGGATACATGATGCTATGGAGTGATGATGGGCACTTAAAAGGTGGAGACGTGAAGAAGAGTGTGTAGGGGAGTGATTCTGACCATACAGGGGGTTCAAGTGAGGGAAGGCTTTCTTCCATTGGAGCTAGGGAGCACGAATGTCATCCTAGAGATGAAATGACTATAGATCTTCGGGGATACCAAGGTCAATTGGGGAGCACTGGGAAGAAGGGTGGTGATCAAGGGAGATGTAGGGTTATTCGAATCCATGGAGTCTCTCAAAATCATGGTGAGAACCCTATAGAAGATGGGAGGAGGATTTTCTGGTGGAGCTGCATAGCTTAGAGGGGAGCAGATAGGGCTGCAAGCGAACCAAACGTTCGACAAGCTACTCGTTGTTCGGTTTGATTAAAGCTCGTTTGAGATCGTTTAATTAACTAAACAAACGAACTTGAACAATATTTTAAATACTCGATTCTTAAATAAAAAAACTTGAACACTAATGCGTTCGGCTTATTTATGTTCGCGAACAACATCATTTGAAGTTCGTGAACAAGCTCGACATTAAGCTCGATAAAAGCTTGATTTGTGTTCGATTTTGAACTCGTGAATAAGCTCGATGAAAATAATTAATATTTGAATATATAATTAATAAATATAAATAATCATTACCTTTTTGTTATATAGACAATTGCTTTTATTATAAATGTGTTTGTTCATAGATATGCTTATGAACGGGTTTGTTTGATAGTTAAAAAAATTAGTTAAATATGTTTGCGAACAAGCTCGATAAACACTAAACGAACGAACATGAAATGAACATGAACCAAACATGAACACTCCTTAATTTAAATGAACCAAACATGAACGCAAATGCTAAAGCTCGAACAAACATGAACAAGCTTATATTAAATGAACACAAACATGAACACTCACATACTCGGCTCAGCTCGGTTCGTTTGCAGCCCTAGGAGCAGATTGAAGGAAGGGGGAGACATTCCTCCTTTGTACAGCCGCTTACCCAGCATTTCACTGAGGTTTTTCAGCCACTATAAGGATTGCCACCACAGACGGAGTAGGAGCACGCTATCACTTTGAAGGAGGGGGTATCACCAATAAGCGTCAAGCCTTACCGATACTCTCAGATTCATAATGATGAAATTAAGAAGCTGATACGGAAAATTTTGGAGGAAGGCATAATCAGACAGAGCACCATGATAGGAAATACTTGATTTCAAGTATTCCCTAATCACTTTAGCAACCAATCTCAAAGCGAACTGCTGTCCACAGCAGGAAATCAGCCAAAAACAGTAGAAATATAGAGGAAAACTGCAGGAGATGAGGAGAAAACACTTGTATTTTACTAGTAGACAATGAAAATAGCAAAGATACAATTTGTTCTTCAATCCGAGAGGAAGAACAACTCTCCAAAGTTCTCCGGCGAAGCCAAGAGCCCAAGCACACAAACCCTAGATCTCAAAAGAGAATTCAAATTCAAGATAATCCCTAATTCTCTCTTAACTCTCTAATTAAAGCAAAAGGAAAGATACAAATTACATAAACACCCTCTTCATTCAAAAATTCCCTCCAACGAAATGCTCAAAAGCCGCCTAGCCCGCTCCTTCGTCCGCTGTTTCTGCGATCGGCGGGTTCCGCCCGGCTTTGGACCGCCGGGTGTAGAACCGGACCGGTCCAGCTGGGACCGGTCCAAAGTTACGCGTAACAGACGCTCAATGAGTTTCCTTTGAACAGG